TATGTGTGTGTGTGTGTGTGTGTGTGTGTGTGTGTGTGTATGAATCACCAAGCAATTTTGTTCTTGACTATCCCTTTCATTTCAAATGTTCTGGATTTCTTTTATGTGTATATTTTTTCAAAATATTGTTTGACTTTTAATGTGTTCTTCTAACATTAATATGGTGTGTATATGTGTGTGTACAGAATTATAAACATAATCTGCCTATAAATACAATTCTAGATCAGTGCAAATATTGGTTATGTAGATGCATGATTTTGCATGTTAATTAAATTAGAAATTTCAAACGTTTTGATGGCCAGGGTTATAAAATAATTCACATATGATTTTTAACATTTCTGTTTGACAAAAGAGAGTTCATGTAACCAGCTTTTTCTTGAATTTGTTGTGATTAGTAAATTTCTTTCAAATACCAGTCTGCAGCCTGAATATTCGAATGCAGTATACTTTTGCAAAATCTTTTTATGCAGTATATTAAATTGATCAAGTTTCTATTTTGTATATGCTTTGTGGAGGTATTAATATATTTGTTAGTTGGCCGCATATGTAATAGTTTAAAGTCAGATAGGGGTGCGTAGCTTATTCTAGACAAACCTACTTCGGTCAGCATAGCAAAAATAGTGAAGTAATAATATTGCCATATGAAGAATTCTTTAGAAAATAAAAGGATGAGAATTGAGAAATTAATCATATAACAGTGGACAGGTATTTAGACATTATTTTTAAGTACCAGTTATGTGCATCTTATTTGGACAAATGTCTGTTCCTAAAGGACAGAAATTCAGGTGCCTTGGGACATTTGACAGGTTTGAGGTTTAATATTTACAGAATATTATCTGTAAATTTCATTTTAATTTCAGAAGGTTACTTACGTTTTTTTCCTGTTTAAATCAAAACTTAAAAAGCATATAGCACACATCTCTATGGCAAGTGGGAGGCTTTCATATCAGACCAAGACAAGGATAATATATCTTAAATTAAGGTCTGAACCAAATATTTTATAAAATGTTAGTAGCAAAATGAATTAAGAACCCTATGCTAGAAGTTTAATGTGAACTGAACAGGTAAAAGAAATATCTTATATACTTACAGTGTGTATCTGAAGGCATTATCTATTCTGGTATTCTGTATTGTTATTTGTACAGTTCGATCCATTCTGTTGTTGTTGTTTCCAGTAAACTGAATCTGATTTTACCAATTGATGCTTGTGTGGTGTTGCTAATGGTCCCTTAATGCAATTGCCAGAAAGCAGTCAGGAGACCAAAGAGGTCTCCCCTTCTAGTTAGTTAATATTGGCTAGCTAGTTGGACATCAACACTGATTCAACTTAAGACGTCAAGATTAGCATGTTTGCTGCAGGATAATTCTTGCTCTTACATATTCAAAAAGGAAAAGATGCTAGGTAAAGATTCTGCAGAGTCGGCAACATTTCTCTATCTAAAACTTTCAAGGGGTCTGAATGATTTGTGTGTGCTTTTAAATGATGTAAATGAAAGGAAATGGGCCCATGAATTATTTGGAAAATTGAAAGTTAACTTGTCAAAGTCGGGTTTTTTTCCTCTTCTCATCCCCCTCAGGTTAGTTTTCTGTGTGCATTTTTATTTGATAAAACAGTTTTCATCTGGGACTAATTTTAAAGAAGTGTTGTATCTTCTCTGTATGCACTGTTTTAGTCTCCTGTAGCTTTCCATAATTTGCAGGAGGATGTTCAGGTAAATTTATGATCAACGCCTAGTTTTGAAATGGCCTTTCTGTTTCTCCAAATTGTAATGAATCATGTCTATGCACAGTATTAGACCTATCTCCTCTCCCATATCTGCCCTTTTGACTACCCTATATGCCATTGACATTGCCTAACTTTGTCATCCCCCCCACCCCTCACCATTCCAGATAACCTTTTCCTTTTCCTTCCTCCTACTGCTGAAAAGGTGTGCTGGTTGAGGCAGTTGCAAACCCTGTAGAAGGCCTCAAAGGCTTATTGTTCAGCCTCCCCAAAAGCCTCATTTGGTATCCTCAAAGCCTCAATCAGCCTCCCTTGGCCTCCCCAAAGCCTCACTCAATCACCTCAAAGCCTCATGTGGCCTCCCCAAAGTCTCACTTGGTCACCACAAAACCTCATGTGGCCACCCCAAAGCCTCACTCAGTCATCTCAAAGCCTCACTCAGTCATCACAAAGCCTCATCTGGCCACCTCAAAGCCTCACTCAGATTCCCCAAGGCTCATATATTGCCTTTTTAAAATCCAATCTAGTCCTTAAATCACTATTTACTTATTCTATACCTGCAGTGTATTACATATTTAAATAAAGAACATGACAGTGAAATAAGTATAATAGCAGCAGCAGAAACAATAGCGATAATAATGATGTATGAAAAATGGTGATGTATATATTCTTTATTTCATCCCTATAAAGTTCTTTTATATTATTGTAACTATTGTAACACATTATAGATGGGGATAGAATTAAAGAATAGTGGCTTTTATTATATAATAAGTTCAAAATGTAGTATTTATTTATTTAGAAAATTTATATAGCTGCTATTTGTTCATAGAGACTCTAGGTGGCCTATAAGCAATAAAAACACAAGTATAGAAAAAAGTAAACATAAAAAACAATAATTCCCGCCCCAGCGACAACACACAGTCAAATGAGCCATTTGATGGGTTCCATCCTACTCTGGGTTCCCCAGGCCCGCTGGCATTCACAGTAATATGAAGGTTGCACTGCTTATATTAATTAGCTACTGAAACAACAACGCAAAACTTATGTCATACTTAATTAACAGTAATAGTGCACACCTATAAGTACCTACAGAGAACTACTAATTTATTTATAATATCTATACCCCACAGCAATTGAGCAATATATAATAAGCAAAACATTAAAAATCTCCAAGACATAATTAGCTTACAGTAGTGGTGGGATTCAATTTTTTTTACTACCAGTTCTGTGGGCGTGGTGTGACTTGGTGGCCGTGGCAGGGGAAGAATACTGCAAAATCTCCATTCCCTCCCCACCCCACTGACTTGTTTTCCAGCTCCGTTCTCCTGTGCAGGGCAACAAAGACCCAACTGATCAGCTGGGACTCGGGAGACAGAGAATAGATGGACAAAAAAGGATAAACAAAAAGGAATTTCTGGATTGAGCAGAATTTTCTATATTGAATTTCTATTCCTAAGAGACTCATTTGGCTATAGCAGTTCATTTACTTATTTTTATTGCTTAATACACTGACAGATCCATAATACTCTAGTCTTCATCATAATCCATTTTTTTCTTTCTGCTTTTTTACAACTATATATCATCTGATCTATCATCTGATCTAGTCTAATATTTACTCAATTAAATAATTCAATGCATATCACACACAGTTTTGTTAATGTCTTTTCATTACTTAGTAATACATATTAAATGCTAACTACTTATTGTCATTTCTGTTATTAGATGTTCTTTGGTTATCATTAGGAATTTGAAAGCCACATGAAGAATTATTGTGGGATAAAAAATGTATTATGTTTTCATAATAATTATTCAAATCCAAATCTGGATTCAAGAATGCTGATTTATACCTTTAATTTTATAATTAAATCTCCTTGAAATAAGAACCAGTAAGAAGTACTTTTGAGTAGATAATTACAGGATTTGCTATGGGAATTAATTTTGTGTAAATTGTGTTTAAATCAATGGGATAATTAATCATGTCTTAGTTTTGTATGAGTTTAAAAGAAATTATGTAGAACTAACTTTACCCTAGATCCAACTCGCTATATATTTACAGTACACGAATTTAGTGGACCTTATAAAACATTAGTGCATTCTTATAGCTTTTCATTTTGGGCTGTAAAATTCAAAGAGCTTACGTGTAATGTAAAGGTATTTTAATTCCATGCACATTACAATACGTTGCTCTCTATATGTAAAAGGATCACTATACTTAATGCTTTTCTTACAAAATATTTTACATTAAATTTCTGGATGCGGATGTAATTCATTTATTCATTCATATAGTTTTCTTAATATGTGAGAATATAGATTTCTTTCTGTTTATAACTCTTCCAGGTGACTTGGATTATTACTGGTTGGATCCTGCCACATGGCACACTAGAGATACATCCCCTATTAGCTCGGTAAGAAATCTCCCTCCCTCCCTCCCCCATTATTTTGTTGGTTTAAATTAAAGAATAATATTGTTTCATAGCCATTTTAATGTCTGTTGTTCTCAATGTAACCCATATAAGAAATACTTAGAAACATTGGATCTTTTCCACTCATGGAGTAGTGTATTCTGTTTATAAAAGTCTTCAAGGGAAGTTCATAATAGTGGAAGTGAAGGAAATAGTTTTCTCTTGGAAGAATCCCCCTTACGCCAGAGTAAGGACTGTAAGCAGAAGTTTATAGGATGCTGCTATTGATTGCAGCAAAGGGTCCATTGTTGTGTAGTAAACATATGTACAGAACAGAATGAAATACAGATAATCCTCAACTTATGACCACAGTCGAATCCAACATTTATGTTGCTAAGTGAGAAATTTGTTAAGTGAGTTTTGCCCCATTTTATGACTTTTCTTGTAACATTCGTTAGGTGAATCACTGCATGCAGTTCTTAAATTAGTAGCATGGATGTTAAGTGAATCTGGTTTCCCCATTGACTTTGTTTGTCAGAAGGTCACAAGAGGGGAACACATAACTCTGGGAAACTATAACCATCATAAATTGTTAAGCATCCAATTGTAAATCATGTTACCGTGGGTATGATGCAACAGTCATAAGTGTGAAAAAAGGTCATGTCAGTTTTTTCAGTGCCGTTGTAACTTTGAATGATCACTAAATGAGAGCTGTTGTAAGTCAAGGACTTCTTGTATATTGGGGCAAACATCATAAAGGTGTTCCCATATATGTTTCTCCAAGCTGAATTCAGGTCCAAATTATGTACTATTTTGTATCCAGTTTTTCCGTGATGATAGATAGATAGATAGATAGATAGATAGATAGATAGATAGATAGATATGAGAGAGAGAGGGAGAGACTGAGAGATGATTGAGCCTTGTTTCCTCATAATCCCATTGTTTAGTTTTGTAACTTTTACTTCCATCTGAGCCTGCTCTTATGTTCCTAGAACAGTCTAGGTGATACAGCCGATTTGACCTCTATTGCCACTGCCACTGCCTTCTTTCTGTTCTCCAGACATGGATTTCGAGGAAAACTCAGATGGAAAAAAAATCTTTGCTTTTGCTTTTCATTTAACTGGCGAATTTGACAGAAATTTAAGCTCAGTATCTGGTCATTTGCAGAGGTCTAGACTTTCTGAGTTATGTTGTCAGATTATAATCCACAAAATGTGCTGTGAACTGGCAACCAAAGGATCTGTATAAGGCCATATTTTCATAATTAGAAAACAAACAGCAATAAGAGAACACAGGTTCAGAGGAAAAAGGACTCAGCCTCAGGGAAAATTACTGTGAAAAGAATCAAACAAGATTCTGAGTTCCTGCAAATGAAATGTAGCACTGCTCTCTGGTTACTTACTGCACCGGTTTGAGTGTAGTTGATTTTTTTTGTTTTGGTTTTAATTCTAAAAGATTTACACCCCACAATTCTGAAATGAGTTTAGATCCACTCCTTTCTGAGCCATGTGGAAATTCAATGAACAAAGCATTAAATAAATTTCTTCCCTGATACTTAACCTGGTTGAGGATGGAATGGTGGTGTCTCCCATAAATTTACTAAAAGCAAAAGGAATTGGATTTCATTCAAGTGTGTGTATTCATGTGTGTGGATGCTATACATTTTGCTGTAATAGGGATCTCTGGAATTTGTCTTGTTAAAGATGTCTTTTGTGAGCTGAAATATACTTATTAGGTTCCAAGTTTTAAATATGATTTTCATGGTTCGGTTGTTAAACATAATGCAGCTTTTTTTAATTCTAGAGATAACAATCCAGTTAAATAATGAATACAATTAATAAAAATAGGTGATCACTATAAAAGTAGAGGCCCAAAGTCTTTACCACAAAAACAATTTCTCAATTCATTTGTTTTCTGGTATTTATATATAATAGCATCCTGTAACTTGGCAACCATCTAAAGAGGGAGATCGGCTAATTGGTCGTGTTATTCTCAACAAGAGAACAACTATGCCAAAAGAGTCAGGTGCATTACTGGGACTCAAAGTAAGTGCTTGGAAACTATACTATAAACTTATTTTCATTAATCTTTTCTAAGAATACTGATCCTTGGTTGAAATTATGACCTTTATTTTTTAGCAAGATTTTAAAGTAGTCTATTATTTAAGTACCACCTTGAGATTAAAAAGAAGCAGCAGAAGTTAAACTTAAATTTATTAATTTTTAAAGTTGAGTTCACATATGCATGGCTGAATTGTATTTTTCCAGTTTGTGGCTTTAGGTATTGTATGACCCAAACAGTGAGGTTAAGTTATTGTACAGTGCACTGTTCAAATCCATGCAATTGGATTTGAATTGAACTGTACATTAGTTGATAATAGGTTAGCATTTGGGTTAAATATTGAATTGAAGCTGATACAAAAATGTGATATCTCCTAGCGTTCTGCCACTTTAGAGAACTTGGGGTGGGTACAAATTTATTTATAATTCAGACATAGCTTACTGTTGTGTCAGTAACCACTCAGGAATTTGGATTTTTTTTTCCTCCGTGAATTCCTAGTTTTTAGAAGTATACACATATATGTATAACTAAATTCCAGATTACATGACATGTAGGAGGAATACTACATATACCCCACTAAGGATATATATTGCCATTTTTAATAGCCAATCACATTGACTGCTCCACGCTTCTGATTGTTCATGGGCTGAGTCAAGAACCAGTAATTTCTCTTTGCTGGCTTTCTAGATCCTTGGCCAAGTAATTTGAACTTTGTCTCTAAGAAGAGCTAGTAGAATGGACTAGGCATTAAATAATGTCTTTTATATCCTACAAAGAATGATAGGCAGTATGAATAATAATTAGCATTATTATCATAACATAATTCGCATCATTACTATCATTCTGAAAAAAGAATATATCAATATAGGTATAGTTTACCCTTTGGAGTCAACCATACTGCAGGTTAAAAACTTTAGGGAAATTATGTCAAGCTTTCTGTTGCTGTGTTCCTTAAACTTTGTCCCCGAAAGGCAATGAAACTCAATAGTGAAGAATGTTCTTAGTGCTAATGGTTAACTTCTGGAATTGTAATGTTCACTGAGCTTGGTTTTATTTCTTGCAAACATACTGCTTCATTTAGTTGTGTTCCTACAACTTAACCAGAGAACTCACCAAATAACTCGATAGCTCATAGAACATGCAACTTTAATGCCCTGAGAAAATTTGAAGCTTAACAATTGTGAAAGATGAAATCACAGTCCAATTTGATATCACAACATTCTTACCTCCATATGTCCAACACTGGCAGAATATCCACTGAAGCTATAAAGCATCAACCCTACCCAAGAGTACAAAACTGGAAAAACCTGGAATCATGGAACTGACAGATCTTTGCCACACCACTTACTTTCAATTTGATGGCTAGATACATAAACAAATTAGAAACTTATGCAAACACCACAGCAGCAATCTCTGCAATCTCTCTTAAACAATCCCTAAATTCAATAACTACAGATGGCAGAACAGGAATTATTTACAACATAACATATACAGATTGTAAAAATCACTATCAGAGGATTAGCAGAATGCATATGTAAACACCAGGAAGCAGCCAGAAGGCATTGAATATCAATTCTTTAATTTCATAACACATAGACAAATTGAACCATAAATTCAATTGGAAAACTGTTAAGTATTTTAGATCAAGCCAAATCAAAGAATGCATAATAGTTTGGTGTTCTCATACATCAACCATTAGCAGACACAGAGAGACAAACCTAGTATACATTTTTTTTAAAAAAAGCAAAAACCCAGAGTATATTCTCCTTCCCTCCTTATCACATATCCAGTAATCAATATGCATATCAGTGAGAACCAAAACAATAGAAAGGAACACTCTTAAGATGAAACAGTGCAGCCAAATCAGGCAGGTCAGCCAATCAGAAACAGGCTCACATACAACTTTAAGTAAGATAGCTCAGACAAGCTGCCATACATAAAAAGCCAGAAACTCCATTACTGTGATGGTGCTTCCTATTGATTGGTTTAGATCAGGGTTGTCAATCTAGATTTCTTTGAAGGCCGGATCAGCATTGTAGTTCTCTGTGGGCCAGCCAGCTGGCCAGGGGGATTGGGGGGGAAGGAGACAGGACAGACGCCTTCTGCAGCACTTTGCTGGCCAAAATGTGCCCATGCCCGTTTTGGACAGCAAAGTGCTGCAGAAGACACTCCATTTTGGCTGCTAGAGACACCGTGGGCTGGTCCTTTGCTATTTCCAGGCTAGCCCTGTGGGCCAGATTTAAACATGCTACAGGCCGGATGCAGCCCGTGGGCCTTGAGTTTGACACCCCTGATTTAGATGGTTGCCCATCTTATCAGCTGTAACTCTGGGCAGCAAATATTAGGTTAAAAAAAACAACAGAAACATTATCTGTTTGGGTAATTAAATGTTTGCAACAAATAAACCATTTTCCTAGATTGACAAATTGAAGTAAAACAGGTAAGTTCCACTTCTGCAAGATGTACCTTTCAGTTATGGAACAGTAAGGGTTCTTAAGCTGCTGATTCTTTTTTGCAAGTTTAAATAGTCACATGGATATGGATCTCTTAAAAATCATATATGGATCTCTTAAAAATCATATAAAGTATCAACATTGCACGAGCAATTATTTTCCTCTGAAAGATGCAAGGTTGCTGTGGTTATATAGATAAAAGGCAATTGAACTGAATATAGATTCCCATTATTTTAGTTGAAATGCAGTTTGGTGTTCTGAAAGGTGGCATATTTATTTTCAGGTTGTAGGAGGAAAAATGACGGAGTTAGGACGACTTGGTGCCTTCATTACCAAAGTAAAGAAAGGTAGCTTGGCTGATGTGGTGGGACATCTAAGAGCAGGTATCTCAGTTATGGGAATGATTTTGTTTTAATATTCTCAAAATCTATATAATGCTACTGTTATGTACTATATTTGCAGTTTCAGTGTACAATTCCCTTTGTAAACATTTCAAGCAAATGGGGGCAAGGTAAACATTATCTATATCAGTTGAACCTAGTTATATTGCTTAACATGTATGTTTATTGGATGGACTCTTAGAAGTACTCGGTACACAAAATAAAGATTTGCATATGCTGAAACTATTTTTATAATATATAAAGTTAGTATATCTCTAAGAATATATAGATCTCAGTTATATCTGACAGAAAGGTTTAAAGAACTGAAAAAAATCCATATAATCTAAATATTGATAATGTTCCAGTTTATGTGAACAAAAACAAATCTTAATTCTGTACTAATTTCCACGAACTGCATATGAAAAAAACATGCATGAGACTCTGTGATATTTACTGTATATATCTGCTAATGAACAAAGAACATCTTTTTGCAAACCAAAATTGCAGAAATATCAGATATTATTCTTTTTAAAACAGAAAAAAAAAATCTTGTCAGAAAGAAGGAAATGACCTTCTCTACACTAAAGACTTACTATAAAGAACAATGGGAAGCATTTGCAAGTCCAAGAGCTCTGCAAAAACATTTGTTGGACTGAAGGAAGGAGTTTTTGCCTTGAGATAATAAAAAAATCAACCGACTGTGTTACAGTGGAAGTATGCTGCATTGCACACTAATGTCAAAATGGCTAAGCTGCTCATACGCCTGACAGGAAGAAAATCTGAGACCTTCTGAGAAAATTAAATATTAATATCACTTGAAGAGTTTCAATTTTCAACTGACCTCTTAAATAGATTTTAATCTGTCTCATGCTGCCTGGCTAATCTTCTGCTCTTGGCTGGCTAGAATTTATTTATTTATTAAATTTGTAGTCTGCCCATTGTACTGTTGAAGTGACTCTGGGCAGCTTACAATGTGTTCTATCAATGATAGATAAACAGACAGACAGACTAACTGAATATACTGATTTAGAAGTCCTAGTACTTGTACTGAGAGAGGAAGAATGGTAGCAAGTTCTTCCTCTTTAATAGCACATGGTGTCTTCTAACTAGCTATACTTATCCCCTTGCATATTGTGATATGTGATAGCAGAATTGGGTGATAGCCCATTGAGGCTTCCTGACATCCTTCTGCCAAACCATTTCAGTTTTGCTGATAGGTCAGTGTTTTGATGTCAGAAGAATGTTCAAGAAGAGAGATTTTTTTTATTTGCAAAGTTTTATTATCTCTGAATATATACCCACAGATATGGCCTAGAAAAGAAGCTACCATACCAATTTATATTTTTCTGTGCATGTAGAGTGAAATCATACAAAAGAATATATCCTTTGTTTTTAAATTCCAGGTGATGAAGTTCTAGAATGGAATGGTAAACCACTTCCTGGAGCTACAAATGAAGAAGTTTACAATATTATTTTAGAATCCAAATCAGAGCCTCAAGTTGAAATTATTGTTTCAAGGCCTATAGGGTAAAGTTTGCTTTGCAATTTCTTTCTTAGCCTATCCACTTCCTTTCCTTCCTTCCTTCCTTCCTTCCTTCCTTCCTTCCTTCCTTCCTTC